ATTCACCTGCTGCAACACTAGATAAGCTCTTGGATATAAACATAATGATGATAATAAGATATATTCGGAATATGTAAATGCCAGCATCTGAAGACATACCTTGAAAGTCAGTTGCAATGGGCATGGTTAACAGAGAAGTATATTTTTGTGTGTGTAGAAGATAACTTAATGCTCCTTAACCCTTTTGCTGCCAAACCTGCCATTCTTTGGGAACTCTTTTCTTGCAGCCAGTGAGACTGCCACTCCAGTCCAGAGAGAGCCTTGCATTGTATCAAGTATCAGGGGGTAGCCGTGTTAGTCTGTATCTACAAAAACAACAAGGAGTCTGGTGGCACCTTAAAGACTAACAGATTTATTTGGGCATAAGCTTTCGTGAGTAAAAACCTCACTTCTTCGGATGCATAGAGTGAAAGTTACAGATGCAGGCATTATATACTGACACATGGAGAGCAGGGAATACTTCGCAAGTGGAGAACCAGTGTTGACAGGGCCAATTCAATCAGGGTGGATGTAGTCCACTCCCAGTAATAGATGAGGAGGTGTCAATTCCAGGAGAGGAAAAGCTGCTTCTGTAGTGAGCCAGCCACTCCCAGTCCCTATTCAAGCCCAGATTAATGGTGTTGAATCTGCAAATGAATTTTAGTTCTGCTGTTTCTCTTTGAAGTCTGTTTCTGAAGTTTTTTGTTCAATGATAGTGACTTTTAAATCTGTACTAGAATGACCAGGGAGATTGAAGTGTTCACTTACTGGCTTATGTATGTTACCAATTCTGATGTCAGATTTGTGTCCATTTATTCTTTTGCGGAGGGACTGTCCGGTTTGGCCAATGTACATGGCAGAGGGGCATTGCTGGCACATGATGGCATATATAACATTAGAGGATGTGCAGGTGAATGAGCCCTTGATGGTGTGGCTGACGTGGTTGGGTCCTCTGATGTTGTTGCAAATTCATTTGCAAATTCAACACCATTAATCTGGGCTTGAATAGGGACTGGGAGTGGCTGGCTCATTACAGAAGCAGCTTTTCCTCTCCTGAAATTGACACCTCCTCATCTATTATTGGGAGTGGACTACATCCACCCTGATTGAATTGGCCCTGTCAACACTGGTTCTCCACTTGCGAAGTAATTCCCTGCTCTCCATGTGTCAGTATATAATGCCTGCATCTGTAACTTTCACTCTATGCATCCGAAGAAGTGAGGTTTTTACTCACGAAAGCTTATGCCCAAATAAATCTGTTAGTCTTTAAGGTGTCACCAGACTCCTTGTTGTTACTATGATGTAACTGAAGGTTCTTGAACTACACCCTGGAATTACGGACAATCAAATAGTCTCTGAAATTTCTATCCAGCAGCTGCTAATAATTTGTAGGGCCCTTGAGGACAGAATATTGTTGCATAAGAGTGCATAAAAACTAGTGCATTTTTAAAAGTATAATTCAAATTTGGGTACAAAATTTAGACTTTGTAAAAACAAACTTTTACAACATCGAAGACCAAGAAAAATGCTCCCAAGTGTTGTTTTTTAAACCACATTTCAATGGAAATAGTTTCTAAACAAACATGTCTCTGCAGTGTTTGTTACCCAAGCACTGCAGCACTGAAAACCTAAAAATGAGACATTTCACTGATTTTCATTGTCCAAGACACACACAAAAAAGCAAGTAAATGAAGAATACAGGGAAAGTGAATTGATTTATAAAATCTTCCTGCTCCAGTAAACAAAGGCATTAACAGAATCATCCATGGTAAAGACATTTTTATTTACTATATACAATTATAATTTGAGATTGTTTCTTTAATATCTTATAACAGCAAAAATTCATTATGCATTAGAAGAAAAAATTTCCAGCTATCTAGGACAGCTTGCAGGAGGATTTAGAAGACTGATAATGAGCTGCAATATGCCCCCCAGGGACATGAGACTGATGCCTGGTTCCGACACTGTGACTTAGTTGTTTCTTAGTGTATCATGCATATAGCTATTTATATACCAAACATAGGCCAAGTTGCTGGATCTTGGCTGCATGTATGCATAGTAATGTACGTATTTCTCTTTTGGAGGGGGGAAGAGAAGAAAAATGTGTTATAAAATGAAAGGGAAAGATATCCTTGGTAACAGTCAAAGCTCCCACAAATTATTAGATAATTCTTCCAAAAATATTCACCACGCACAAAAAGCAGTTAAACTGAAAATCTGCTACAGAGATAATGTCACATAGCTCTAAATCGAGATCTTTGAGATGGAAGGCAAATGAGAAGACTGAGGCAAGAGCACAAGGATAGAGTTTGGTTGATACATTTTAAGTGCCAGTATTGGATAGCCGAAATGATTTTCTTAAATAGTCCTTGATGTCAACACTAAGGTGGAGATGGGGGATGGCAGCATTTCTAGTAACTGGGAAATGCTTGAGCAAGCTCGAATTGCTTAGACCTCTGGTTCTCACCTTTTGGTCTCAGGACAGCCTATCACAACCCAAATACCCAAAACACAAAATACCTTTAGTAAAAGAAACATCTGGCTTACTAAATATTTCTTACCCACATAATATACACACTTACATAATAAGTACTAAATAAGTATACCAGGAGTACCATAATGGCAGGTCCTGCAGCTTCTGTCCCACAGTGCTGTCTGGGCTCAGCTCCATGCTCTGGGAGTTGTGATCTCTGGGGTTGCAGTGCTGCTCATGTTTGGTGGAGGCCAGGCAGGTCAAATTTGTGAGAGTGGTGTTGTATCCTGGTGCATGCTGTCACTGAGCCACTCAAATTTGGCCTGTCTGACCCCTCATCATCATGATGGAGAGGTGGCTGGGCCAAATCTAAGCAGTGCTGTGACCCTGTACTTCATGTTGCAACACCTGGAGCAGAGAGCCGAGCCCAGCCAACCTCATGGGACTGGAGCCACAGAATGCAGGGTGGGCTCTGCAACCCCTGCCAGCCCCCCTTACCTCATTGGGCAGAATCCCTCCTGCCCTACCCCACAGGTCTCCCATCTAACCCTTTGATACATTCTGGCAGCATAATTTTGGGTTGGGACCCACATGCATAGCAGGATACCAGGTTGCAGTATCCACTGTGTGGAATTTTGCATCTATACTTTAGTTTACTATAATTAATGCAAGTACTGGGTCTGCCCAATCTTCAATCCTTAAAGCTCTCTTTGTCTCACTCACTCTCTCCCAATTTTGTGCCTTTTTCATGGTCTTCACTTCCCTTAAAAATCACTTCCTACTTCCAATAGGCCAATCACCTGCGATTCCTCTAGACTCTCTTCTTCTTGCATAGTCTCCATTGTCAATAACTCTGCCAGCTCCCACCTTCTCACCTAATTGTATTGTATTAACCTTATTTAGATTGCATGCTCCTAGGACAAGGGACCTGTCTAAACTAGGTATGTGTAAAATATTATGCACACCTATGTTGGTATATAACAGAAAAGAGCAAATGCTAGATAAAATGAAACAAAGGGATGAAAACAAGAATCAGCATAAACATTTCTTAGGAATAAATCCATTAACAAGAGAAGAAAAATTGCTAGCTTACTTGCATGGCAGAATGCGGACAACATCGTTCTGCTTGTAACACTCGATACAGACAGCACAATGATCAAAGTCTGGGTCTGTTTCCTAAAATGAATAGCATGAAAACTCAAGTCAAGAGTTAAGACTACATTAAAGGTAAAGTAGACATGATTAGTAAACAGGAATTCTACTGTGGCAGTGAGGATCAAATATGCAAAGTGGCTATGAACAGGAAGAGGCAGAAAAGGGTGAAAATATGCCTCACAAAGAAGATACAACACACACTTTACATGCATATCAAAGTCACCATCTCATTTAAAACTAGCATTTGTGTATATCTTAAATTTAAACTAGAATAAGATAGCTATAATTCATTTGTAGAATAGTACTTTTCATATTGACTCAAAAGATATTATTTCCACAGGACTTTATTTCAGTTAAGATCTAGTCTACATCATTACTTCATAAAATATAATTTATATAATATTAAAGCAGATTTTTTTCATCTCTTGCTATAATCAGAGCTAAAAAACTGCTTTATTTCATACTTCAGAAAGTCCAGTGTTTCCTGCTCCTCAGACCCAAGAATTACTGATGTAATTCCTATACAGACATGCAGCTCAGGATCACTTGCTGGCTATAGTTTGTTATAAAGGTTACTGTTTCTAAATGGATAAAAAACTTCACATATGTTAAGTTTCCCTTTGGAGAAAGGCAGATTTCATATAGATAAAGCCATGGCATTGGTGGTATACACTAAAATCTGTGGGCTACACAGACACACAGGCTGTGCTTTCTTCCAAAATCATACAATTCTTTTCAGTACTGAGTACTGAGACAAGGACATCAAAAACCACAGCAAGACAAAATTAACAACTCCACTGTTGGAAACAGGCAGTCAATATTTCATGCAGAGAACCCTGATGGGCTGCACTGATGAATGGCAGATTTATTCCTGTATTCCTTTCAACTACATACACATCTCCTGCTGCCTGTTCTGCAACCTCCATATCACTTAACAATCTTGCCTCTATGTTGTCAGGAAGGCAGCATCTTCCCTTGTAGTATTAATAAGTTCTAAATATACACACATCAGCAAAGATCTACTGCAGAAGATTCTTGTAACCAAATTGCCTAGAAACAAAAAAAACCCCAAAGGCTTGGGAAAAGCATTTTTCTCATATTTCTCTTCAGAGAAACAAATTCAGGTGGCTTCTCGTATTTCTGTTGTGTTGGTAGGAAAGATGATGAGAGGGAGTCAGTGGAAGCACCAAAGGGAAACGGTTTTCTTTTTAAAAAGAAAAATCATAATCAGAACACCATTTAATTATAATCAGGTCTGTGCATTTTGCAAAAGGAAAGGGAAAAATGAGCAAGGCTATAAATAAATGTTACAGCGCTGATCAAGAACTGATGAGTACTTGTAGCTTTTTAATTCACAGTTCATGATCAATTATTCTCTGACAGCCAAATACAGTTCCCCATAGCTCAAGACTTCAGACTCAGGTATTTCAACTCAAATGAAATACCTCTCCCCTAACCCAAGAGACTAATTTATAAAAAAGTGAATTCTCACAAGAACTCTTCCTCTTAGCCCCTCTATTTTTATTTTGCACAACATATATGTGCAACATTCCAAGTTTACAGTGTTCCACATAACTAACACTAACCTTGCCTTTCTCTAGTAATGACAATTTATACAGAGTTATTAGGAGCATAGCAAATGAAATGTTGTCATGATGGCTCAATACAAAGCCTTCTGCACTCCTGCCTGCAGAAATACTCAGCCAGCTAGCACAGAACAGCACTCACAATCACAGTTACCAGATGGAGCTCAACTAGTCCCTAAGCAAGAGAAATTCTCCTTTCGGGGGAGCAAAGGCTACAGTATACAGAAAAGCTCTAGATGTCACACTGAAATACTGTAGCAAAAGATGAACTCCTCAGCAAGTAAACCAGCATTAAAGATGAGAGGAGAAAGAAAAACAAATCAGATAAAGTGAATTGTTTTTACTACCAAAATAAACCATGAGATTCAAGTATATTTTGCTGAAGTCTTATTACTATACCTTATCACCCTTTTTTACTGTCCTGGTTGTCAATTTGCTGATGGCTTTCTTTGCAGCATCTCCAAGACGACGCTATTAAATTTACAGAGAAAAGAATGCAGGGATTAATGCTTAGAGTGTAACAATTTTTCTTTTAAAATGACTTCGTTTGACTAAATATTAATGCTACAATACTCTGCTATAATTGGCTAATATTCAAAGTACAGAGGATATAGCAACGACAATCCGATAACCTGCACATAAGATCAGAGAGAAAATTCAACTGCAGACCATGTACATGCAGTCAAGGTAATTATCTACTGTGGCAGAAGTCTCATAGGCTGTTCGAGCTGTTTTTTTTTAAAGCCATATCTACGAGCCATCAAAACACATACACTGGGATATAAATAGAGGCTCATGCCCTTCCACTAATTCCCACTGTACTACACTCTAATTACTTTTTATTCAATGAGCTGTATAATATCACTTGCCCTCTTCCTAAGTTTTCTATTTGGGGTTTCCTTGAGTAGGGAATAAACCTGAAATTACCTCTAAAGGCAGACAATTCACACCTGAGCCTAATATTTATCTCAATACACCATAAAACCAACCAGTATCTTCACATGCCAGAAAATAATTTAATGGCCATAAAATCAAAATTCAGTCAATACAGGCTATACTTGAATAAAGCTCACATGAATACTGATTCCAAGACAAACCTATTTGGTTGCAAAGGGTCAAGTTGTTTTTAATGGGCATCAGTGTTAGTTGGAAACGGTCATTTCTATGCTTAAAGTGCTGATTCCAATGCAATGCTCTGATTCAAGCCAATTAAGAATGGCAAGTTGCCAGTTAGTTCACAGATTTCAGGGCCAGGTCACTTTGAGCTGAAAAAAGCTCATGTTTCCTTGTTTCAATAACCACAACGCCCCACAGAAACAGGATGAGGTTTACATTGATAGAGAGAAACAAAGTTAGTTTATTTTTTCCCTTTAAAAACTTCTATAGGCACACATACAATTACTGTGAACATTCTACCGTTACCACTTGTAAGGAAAGATTTTATTTTCAAGTTTTCCTTTACTACTGGGGTTGGGGATGTGTCTTAAGCCACCCCCGTGAAAATCCACATGAATTTGGCCAGTTTATAAGCCTTAGAAAAACTGCTGTTTGCACATGCTCCGGAGAGACTTGTTTACAGTTGAATCTTCAGCAAAAGTAGTTGTTAAATATCTACTGAGCATGCTCCTGCCAGGGGTAAGGTCTGAGCAGGACTTTACTACAGCTGTTTCTCCTGGTTACTGCTCTGACACTGAACAGAGAGAACTCCCCCATTTTCAATGCTCCCCCTTGCTGGAAACCAGGCAGGGAAGAGGAGGAGAAAGTAACCTGACTGGAATGCAGAGGGGTCAGAAATGGTGGGGGTAGGATCTGGGGTGAGGATTGATCCAGAAGGGGCAGGAGGCAGGGTGTGGCAGACAGAAGCACAGGGAGATAGGGGCAGAAGGGTCTGACCTCTAGAGCACACTCCCCTTCAGAACCTGGACATGAACCCAGGAGTCCTGGGTCTCTACATTACTCTATCAGCAAATAACTATGAAGCCCACTGGCAGAGTGGGTGTCCCATCTTCCTTCTAGTGACTGGTCATTGTAGAGGATAACAGCCTATGACTTTGATCAGCCCAAGTGGTAGAGCTTGTGCTGTGAATCTAAAGGTCCACTGCCAACTTTATGACCCATGTTTGGTGTTGGAGATCCATATGGTTCTGCATGATAGAATTTTTTATTTTAACTGGGCATTACACCGAAAAATTACATTAAAGGGACATTAAGATTGCAGAGTCAAGCACTCAAAAAAGTTAGGAAGTGCCAGAATTAATATTGCCCTGGAAACATTTGTTCGGTCCCGTTGTGCATGTAACTTTGCATCCTAAATAACTTTCTTGGAATCGATACTTTTTGTATGCAATTATATGTTATGGTATTACTGTGACTAAGCACCCCTGTATTCACACCTTACAAACTACTGTAACCTTTGTATAAAATATGCCTTGTATCATTTGACAGTGAACTCACTGATTAATATTCTTGCATGATGTGTGTACACAGTGTGTATTAAGAGTTATGGATATATGCTGAGATTATAACTAGAATGTGTTTAAACCAGGCATGTCAAGGGGAATTGGTAAACAGGTCTGCCCTGGACAAAGGAATGTGTTTGCTGCTCTACCCAGCCTGGTCATGAGGCAGAGACAAAGAAGGTACGTTTACATATAAGCGTAAACAGGGTTATCACACTACAAGGAGAGGGTAGATTGGAGGAAACAGAATGATTTGCCTTTTAGCAAATACCAGCTAGGAATGAAAGAGTGTGGAGTTTCCTTCACCACCAGACTCCATGTCACCTTTCTCAGAGCTTGGAAAAAAAACCTTTGAGAGTTGATCCTGAAAAGAATCAATTTCAAAGGGTTACCAGTCTATAAAGAAGTGGGCTGAACCTCAAGTAATAAATAATCAACTGATTGTGTACAATATTACTGTATTATAAAAGTGTACAGAGGGAGGCCTTTTCTGAAAGCTAATGACACTGGTGATTAATATTGTGAAATGTATGTATTAACACAATGAGGAAATATTATGCTTTAAAATCTGTGGCCAATCACGTTTCCTCCCTACAAGGAGAGAAGGCAGCTATGTACCTAACTCTTATGTAAATTAAGCATGGTGAAGTCAAAACAATGGAAGCCCCATTTATATACAGATGGATGGAAAGTCCACAGGAAGGGAAGAAGACCATGAGGTCATCCTATTCTTGAAACAAAAAGTCATTACATTTTGGAGGAAAGAAGCAAGGGCAGAAGACATATTTGGCAACCATCATTGGACAGACAAGAGGCCCGAGCTCTTGCTAGCTGAGAAAGATGGGTCCTTCAACTACGGAAGGGTTTGAAGTCTCTGGAAACTAAATATAGGTGAGAAACCTGCCTACACAAAGATTTTTCACCTAGGAAGACAAAGGAAGCCAGCATCTTGTACTTTTGTAGAAGGTCCTGACAGGGAAAGTCAGCTAGGGCTGGAAAGAATGAATGGTGAGAGAAAACATCTTGAACAAAGCCTGAACCTTACTAGATGAAGTTTTAGACGAGTATTTTCACTTTTATTTGTGTTCCCTTTCTAACCCTATTCCTTTTACTTGGCATCACTTAACCTATATTCTGTTAATAAATGTGTTTTATTTTTACTATAAACCAACTCAGTGCTGTGTTTTCTGGGTAGGGTGTATTTACCCCTGATAAGTTAATGAACTCGGATGTGCTTTTGTCTCTTTAAAGGAACAAAGAAACCTTATTTTTTCTCTGAACTGTCTAGGAGAGGGCTGGACATTGCAGAGCACACAGTTTTGGGAAACTTCTGGAGTGTGTTGGAGTCACTTTGCCGGTTGTAACCAAGGTTGATGGAAGCCAGAGAGGGGCTGTAGACAGGCTATGGATCAAAGCTGTTGAAACACGGCTGTCTAGTGCACAGACACTTTGGATGTGACCTGAAGGCTTGTCGGCTGGTGCCAGGTTGTGAGCTTCAACAGTGGGGCATTTCAGGCACCCAGGGTCACAGGGCAGGCAGTGACAACCTCTCACTGATCTGGATTGGACCTTCAAACTGTGTGACAGTAACATATAAATATGTGCCTGCGCTGAAAGTTGTAATATAAGAGTTCATTTTCTTTTGGAAACGTTAATATTTAATTTGGACACCTACAAAATTAACAGAGCAAGCTTGATCTTTAACAACATTTCACATTTAACTATCTTGTAACTCTAGTAGCTGTTTGGAGATTATATTAAGTTTCAGGGGTTGTATACTAATGTGAAAATAAGCAGCATAGATGTGCTGCACTAGTGGGACTTACTCCAGTTTGAAACCAGTGTAAACGGTACCAGTGCAGAGTATTTACACTTTTGATTTTCACTCATGTACTTACACTGATGCAAAAATTCCTAATGTAGACAAGCTCTCTGATGAACCAATATCCTGTGTGCCCCAGTCTTGCTATTTGTACCTTAGGTAGATGGAATTTTTGCTTTTAGACTCATGACTGATACTAGCTTAAGGAAAAAGACATTAACTGGCAAACTGAATAACCACAAAAGGTGTTTAATGATTTTGGCCTAGTGGAAGTGCACAAGGTTAACTGTAAGGCACCTGTAACGTACAGTTCTACCTATTTTTTTATTTAAGAAACACAGCATCTGTTTTCAATGATTTCTGTAGAAAGGCTAGTGTGCTTCTACACATAATAGCTTAAAAACTGCACAGTTCAGAAATTAGCTGTTATTGCATCACTAAAAGCTCTGGCTTCTCCTTTACAATATATCTGAGCACTTCAAACTGAGTTCTAGCTGCTGCCACCTCCTTATTAAACTTTAATAAGCTGAGCTTTTTAAACCACATAAAAATTTCATCAAGTTTCTCCTGACCTTTGAAAAAAATCTAAAGAAAGTAAAAAAAGGTCATAAGAGCACTTTCCCCACAGAGCCGCTGTTTTAAAGCATCTGCACTGGGAAGAAGCCTACAGCAATATATGGGATGCAGGGGGAATAATTTGTCACTCAAGGAATATCCATGGAGTACTAATTATATTTAAACTTTTAACATCCAAAGGGACCATGAGGAGTACCAGTTACAGTATGGGAACCTAAATATGACGTATCCCAGGAAAGCTTGCAGGGTCTCCATAGGGCCCACCACACCACAACCACTATTACTGGGAACAACTGAGAAGGAAATCTTTAGTCAGAGTTTGTCTACACTGGCAAGTGAAAGGTCTGGTCTACACTGGGGGGTAGGGGGTGTCAATGTAAGATATGCAACTTCAGCTACGGGAATAGTGTAGCTGAAGTTGACATATCTTAGATCAACTTACCTCCCATCCTCATGGCATGGGATCGATGGCTGCGGCTCCCCCATTGACTCCGCTTCCGCTGCTTGCCCTGGTGGAGTTCCAGAGTCGACGGGAGTGTGTTCAGGGATCAATTTATTGCATCTAGACGAGACGCGATATATCGATCCCCAATAGATCGATAGCTACCCGCCGA